AGGACGGGGTGAGTATCAGGACAGCAGGACGGGGTGAGTATCAGGACAGCAGGACGGGGTATCAGGACAGCAGGACGGGGGTATCAGGACAGCAGGACGGGGTGAGTATCAGGACAGCAGGATGGGGTGAGTATCAGGACAGCAGGACAGGGTGAGTATCAGGACAGCAGGACGGGGTATCAGGACAGCAGGACGGGGTGAGTATCAGGACAGCAGGACGGGGTGAGTATCAGGACAGCAGGACGGGGTGAGTATCAGGACACAGCAAGACAGAGGGGTTGAGTATCGGGACAGCAGGACAGACGGTGAGTAGCAGGACAGGGGGTTGGGTATTGGGACAGAGGGGGTGATTATCAGGACAGCAGGACAGAGGGGGTTGAGTATTTTTTATTGATATCTTGATACAGTCATCTATCTACAAATCTATCTCTGGACTGTAAACCAGGAAGAAGAGCGTCTCACTGACCTTTTGTACACTTCAGACTTCAGCAGTATGGTATGTACGGTTATTACGCACTAAATTATGAACCCGGGAAAATAATTTTGTGGTCGTGGCTATTTATAAGTACGCCGTGGCTATATACACTCCCGGTGTGTATATAAAAGACAAATAGATTTTATATACACTCCGAAATACTAGCCTCCTTGGTAGGCCCAAAACTTGGGTTTTTGTGAGTGTTTGAGGATTCAGGGGCACCAAGTTTAAACCTCGGTCTTCAAGTTTATCTTATTGGATGATGAAAATCAGAAAACAACACGGAAATCTCCACAGAAGTTCGGTCGAGCGGACCGACCCGCCCCGCTTGCGCGGGGCCCGGGACCCTCCGCTCCCGGCGGCGGCGGCGAGACCGGTCGCGCGCCCCTGGCGTCCTCGCTACCTGGTTGATCCTGCCAGTAGTCATAGGCTTGTCTCAAAGTTTAAGCCATGCACGTGCAAGTTTAAACTGTCTCAGTGAAACTGCGAATGGCTCATTAAATCAGTTATGGTTCCTTTGATCGTCACATCCTACATGGATAACTGTGGTAATTCTAGAGCTAATACATGCGGAAGAAGCGCCGACCTCACGGTCTGGCGTGCATTTATCAGACCAAGACCAACCCGGGGTTCGCCCCGGTCCCTTTGGTGACTCCGGATAACACAGCCGATCGCGCGGTCTTCGCACCGGCGACAGATCATTCGAATGCCCTATCAACTTTCCGGGAGTGTATATAAAAGACAAATAGATCTTATATACACACCGGGAGTGTATATAAAAGACAAATAGATTTTATATACACTCCCGGAGTGTATATAAAAGACAAATAGATTTTATATACACTCCCGGAGTGTATATAAAAGACAAATAGATTTTATATACACTCCGGGAGTGTATATAAAAGACAAATAGATTTTATATACACTCCGGGAGTGTATATAGCCACGTTCTTATAAGTTTGTGTACAATTAAAACGCAACCATATAACTTTGTTATAGATCAATGAATTATGTCACGCTTACCCCTCACACATAAACACTACATCCTATGTGAACAAGGACGTTATATCACGTCTTTGATGCAACAAAATACGATCTCCGATTTACATTACAGTCATATTATGAGAGTGTTTCTATAACGTTATATATAACGGGCCCGTTGTGTAATGTTTCATACCTTCAACTGCACTTGCTCTTCACCTTACTACAAACCCGCCTTTTCTAGCAGCATTAAACTGTTGTATAGCCTCTAAAATCTCCATACCTTTAACATTCCTGGACAAATCTTGTCAAAAATGACCACACAACCCCCTCCCACTGTACGTACGTACACTAGCGGTCCGACGTGACCCCGATTGACCTCTGTAGGAACTACTTGATTACCCAATTTTGACTCTACAAGACACAATATAGCCGCTGGCAGACCTAGGCGTATGAGCATGACGGCGCTAAAAATAACGATGCCTTAAAAATTAAAAGATAGCAAGGGTTACACATAGGATGTTTTCGAACCTTCATTATAAATGCGTAAACGAGCATGGTTTGGCGAATAATCTAGTCTTCGAATTTACAAAATGCATTTCTTTACATTTTCGTCTTTTTCGTTTGATTTTGTTGGCATTCTACGACATTGTTATGGATTTCTGATATTTTTTTTTTGGCAACGTACGGTATATATTTTCTTATTTTGCAACTGTTTCGTTCGATTTACAGTATGGGAGAAAACTTTTTTTTTTAACTGCCGAAAATTAATTCGCGCGTATACACTAATACCGGTGTTACCGCTCCAACAAAAGCCAGATTTACCAAAAGCTGAATTACGGGAAAGTCTGCTCTATGCCTCCGGTATAATACCTTAACAATAGAGATAGATGCCAGATATTTTTTTTTTTTGCTTAAAGAAGATCAAAGAATCAAATGCCAGAAGCAACCATCACTTGACTTACCTTGCACTATCACTGTTGTTAAATCCTGCTTTTCGTGCATGCCTTCATAAGGCCATGTTGATTTGATCATATGGATGACCCTCTGAGAACCCAAAAACTGATGCGCGTGTGCGAATAAAAAAGTTTGTCCCCAAAAAAGTTGCTTTCATTATGAAATCTACGTTTTGAAGGTTGAAAAAATGACACAGAGTATGGTTTGGCGAATAATCTAGACTATGTTCAAATTCATGTCTTTACATTTTCGTCTTTTTTGTTTGATTTTGGCATTCCACGACATTGGTATCGTTTTCTAATTTTTTTTCAACTTACGGTATATATTACGGTCAACAACATTCAACACAGGGTAGCTGCAACTAAACTCCGAATAAGTTGTCACAAATTACTCCTAGAAACGGGACGGCACAACCGCATTTCTCTCCAGAACAGACTCTGTCAATAGTGTAACATGAATAGAATAGAGGATGAACAACACTTTAGTTTAGACTGTACTTTATATTCTAATGAAAGATCTGTCCTTTTTAATCATATCAAAGAGAAGTTCCCATACTTCGAACACCTGAATGCAAACGATAGATTTATATTTTTGATGCGTCTAGACAAACCCTGTATCACAAACATGATCTGTTCCCACATTTTCCATTGCAAAAGCGAGAAGAAGTTGACCTGTCTGTATTAGCTCAGTAAGTAGAACACTTTGTATTAGCCTAGTATAGTATCCTTGTATGTTCCTTATGTATGTATGTCTAAGTCAAGCAGTGTATCTTTTGTATACACTTTTCTACATATGTTTGTTATGTGTCTGTTAAGTCTTGACCTGTACCTAGCCCGTCGTGGCATGAATGTACAATAAAGGTCTTTCATTATATTTGCTCATTTTGCAACTGTTTTGTATCCTCTGTTTGGAGGGTATCTCAGCACACAGGCCAGCCCTTCAGTTGGATCCAGGGTCTACTAACTAAGGGGTGTCTATGGTATAATTTCCTAGTACTGGCTAGCCTCCTGATACAGCGTTTTGAAGAGTTTTTAACGCGTTCTTTTAATAGCCGGCCATCCTACAACCAGCCGCCGAGAGAAGGTTCCATTCCGCCCACGGAGCCTGCTCCCTACTCTCCAAGCAGAGGTTGTGGGGGAATGATCGTTAGCTTTTTATATTTGGCCCTTTTTTTGTCGCTACCCCCGTCGGTGGCCGCGGACCTTCGCTGGCTAATGGATACTGCCTGGCCAATTTGATACTGTCTTTTTGCCACCGAGAGGGATCTGCTTGGAGATTACTGCTCCCGTTCGGCACGAAAAAGGCAAAAAGGGGATTAGAAAAGTCAAAGGGCGTGAACGGAATGGAACCTTCTCTCGGCGGCTGGTTGTAGGATGGCCGGCTATGAAAAGAACGCGTTAAAAACTCTTCAAAACGCTGTATCAAAATTCCCAGCCGCCCCGGAGCCTGCACAGGAGGCTAAGTGTTGGCCCTGGAGCCGAGGAACTAGCCTGCACGCAAGCTGCCCTGGAAACAGTCTGGCACCCAGGCTAGCGCTTGAATAAAAGCACTACCATGCCCCATGTCCTCCATGCATGTATTGTACTACGCTGTACATTTTGCAATACTTGTAATTATTGCAAGATATCACAGTAGTAAGACCCACAGTTTAAATCTCGATAACAATAGTATGAAAAGGCAAACACGTACCTCTATGTTTCAAACGTCCGTTGTATTAAAAGAGACGGCGAAATTCAGCGTTTTCCCCACCACCAGCTAAACTGTGTTTTCATACTACCATACTGGTAATGTCTGATTGAACAATGTGAGACTGACTTGAACAACGACGGTGTAGCACGTTGAAAATTTGTTTACGCATGGGTGAGCGACTTTTGTTGTTCTTGAACCCACGTGTGACCTCTACCTGCTGACGGTAATACACGTTTTCTCCCGGGGCATTATCCATTCATTCAACAGTAGAGAGGGATTACGGGACAGTCAACCCGCTGACGTGAACTCAGAAACTCTGGTCATAACCCGCCGTACGTGCTTTTGGTCCGTACGTTTTTTGGGAGCCTACGTCTGCTACGTTTTTCTAAAAACGTGGGGAAGGACCGGCGTCTACGCACGTCACTCGCACGGTTGGGCAAGGTGTAATAGTGTGGTCTGCACGCCAAGTCTGGCCGTTAGCGGTTGCGTGCATCGTACGTTGCATTATTCCATTATTATTCCATTATTATTATTTATCTCAAGACATGGTGACGACACACTCAAGTTTTCTGAACTTTTTTTCATGCCGCCACCAACGCAGAGGACAATAAACAATAGACATATCCATTTTCACCTGAGTTAAGTGACGAAAGCCGTGTAAAGTGCCTTTAAATGTTGGCATGACAGGATTCGAACTCGGGACCTCTTGGTTTCGAGCCTGTCTTTACGCCACAGTATTTGCATCCCCTCTATACTTTTCCATATTCTTTCCTAAAAGGCAAAATTCTGATATGCAACGTTGGCCACAAACATGCAACGAAAACCGTGAAAAATCCGGATTTCGCGCAGGTCCAGTACAGTACGTTCTGCCGACGTGCTCTCCTTTCACTGACTTACAGATGACGTCATTTCAAATTACCCCACCCACGTGACCCCTCAGGCGACACCTGTTAGCTTGGGTTGCCAAGTTGTCATGGCGACACGTGGTAGCCCTTGAGACCTCCCTGCCTGACAAAGACTTCCTTATCTTAGGCCACGGCAAGTAATATTTACGTATCAAATTCAGCGCGCGCAGTAATAAGGCCATGTTGATTTGATTATATGGATGACATCCGCGCGCGCATGAATTTTTGGCCGTTTCCAAAAAAAAAAAGTTTCCAACCACACTGGAAATTGTACAAAACAGTTGCAAAATGAGCAAATATATACCGAAAGTTGCAAAAAAATATTTGAAAACGATTCCAACGTCTTAGAATGCCAAAATCAAACAAAAAACTAAACTGCAAAGAAATGAATTTAAAGAGTACATTATTCACCATACCATACTCTGTGTCATTTGTTCGACCTTCATAACCACGTAGATTTCATGAAAGCAACTTTTTTTTTTTGCAAAACTTTTTTTTTATTCGCGCGCTCGCATCAGTTTTGGGGTTCCCAGAGGATGTCATCCATATAATCAAATCAACATGGCCTAAGTTTCGCCTGATTTCGGAAAAACAACAAGAAATTTTGTTGCCTTCTGACAGTGGTCAACATGCCAAAAATGGGCAAAGATGTCTGTTGCCATGCCGGAACGTGGATGGCAGATAAATATGAAGAGAGGAAACAAGGCAAGGCTCTGATTTATTGTTTTGTCTTTTACTTTGATGCAATTATGTATTTCATTCCTTTTTTATGTTCCCACTGAATCAAAATCATTCACACAATGATTGAAAACTTTTATTTTTTAAAGTTGTCTCAGTGAGCAATGGAAATAAGTTTGTCTTCTTTTTGCGTTTTTTTTTTCCTTTTATATCAGCACCGCCACAGGCCGCACTTCGGTGCACCTGCATCCACCTGAACGTTATGCCTCCTGGCGGTTTTGGTCAGTACTGCATTGAAGGGGATACCTCCACAATATACTGCTGAGTAGCGCAAGGTTACCAGTTTACGTGCAGGACCAGTTAACGGTCAGTTTGCGACATGACCAGACTTCGAAGTGTACGATGAAAGAATTAAGTGTCATGGGCAATAAAGTGTAACATGTCTCTTATTTATTCAATGCACAAAAATACGTTTTCATCCAGAGATACAATAGAATACCTTCCGAAAAGAACAGCTTTTTCACGACTTTTACCTGCGCATGACACGCCTTTTGCACAAGAAATAAACAAGTTCAAAACGAGTGAGAAAATGCGTGGGAAGGGAAGTTATTTTTTTCAATTAATCGAGACCTTTACTGTGGAAGGTACAGTAGAATTTTTCTAGCATGAATCTGTGCATAGAGACCATAGCCATTTTAAGGGATGGCCGTTTAGATGAGTTTCCAATTGACCCAAACATGCATATGAAGAACCATCTACTAGTATATGGTTAACTGTGAAAACTATCTTCCAGTCAAAATAGACTGGTTTGATTGTAGCAGTGAAATCAAACCTCTGTCCTTTTCACATGGCAGAGGAACAAAATGTACTGTAGACTGCCCAGTGTCCGTTCTATAGTAGTCAGAGTTATGCTGTGTCTCCTCTTCCTCTGCATCATCCAACATCCCACCAGAATTACCTGAAATTAAACCCAGTCCTCTTCACATGGCAGAGGAACAAAATGTACTGGAGACTGCCCAGTGTCAGTTCTATAGTTACAGTTACAGTTACAGTAGTCAACGTTATGCTGTGTTGCATCTTTGCATCATCAAACATTCCACCAGAACTACATGTACCTGATATTAAACCCAGTCCTCTTCACATGGCAGAGGAACAAAATGTACTGTAGACCGCCCAGTGTCAGTTCTACAGTAGTCAGAGTTATACTGCGTTTCGTCTTCCTCTGCATCATCGAAAATCTCACCAGAACTACCTGATATCAAACCCAGTCCTCTTCACATGGCAGAGGAACAAAATGTCCTTTAGACTGCCCAGTGTCAGTTCTATAGTTACTGTTACAGTAGTCAACGTTATGCTGTGTTGCATCTTTGCATCATCAAACATTCCACCAGAACTACATGTACCTGATATTAAACCCAGTCCTCTTCACATGGCAGAGGAACAAAATGTACTGTAGACCGCCCAGTGTCAGTTCTATAGTTACTGTTACAGTAGTCAGAGTTATGCTGTGTTTCATCTTCCTCTGCATCATCAAACATCCCACCAGAACTACCTGATATTAAACCCAGTCCTCTTCACATGTCAGAGGAACAAAATGTACAGTAGACTGCCCAGTGTCAGTTCTATAGTTAGAGTTACAGCAATCAGAGGTATGCTGTGTTTCATCTTCTTCTGCATCATCAAACGTCCCAGAACTACCTGACATTAAACCCAGTCCTCTTCACATGGCAGAGGAACAAAATGTACTGTAGACCTTCCAGTGTCAGTTCTATAGTTACTGTTACAGTAGTCAGATTTTCGTTGTGTTTTGTCATCTTCCTCTGTATCATCAAACATCCCACCAGAACTACCTGATATTAAACCCAGTCTTCTTCACATGGCAGAGGAACAAAATGTACTGTAGACTGCCCAGTGTCAGTTCTATAGTTACTGTTACAGTAGTCAAAGTTATGCTGTGTTTCATCTTCCTCTGCATCATCGAACATCCCACCAAAACTACCTGAAATTAAACCCAGTCCTCTTCACATGGCAGAGGAACAAAATGTACTGTAGACTTCCCCGTGTCAGTTCTATAGTTACTGTAAACAGTTACAGTAGTCAAAGTTATGCTGCATTTCGTCTTCTTCTGCATCATTGAACATCCCACCAGAACTACCTGATATTAAACCCAGTCCTCTTCACATGGCAGAGGTACATGTACTGTAGACCTCCCAGTGTCTGTTCTACTGTAGTCAACGTTATGCTGTGTTTCGTCTTCCTCCGCATCATCGAACATCCCACCAGAACTACCTGAAGTCTCACTGTAACAATCATCATCATCATCATCATTGTTTTCGGTTTTGTCCATACAGCAGACCACAGCAGTTTTGTCCTGGCTGAGTTTCACATCATCTGAACCCACTAAAGCAGACTGTAAACTCTGAACGTCAGGACAAACTCTCTTCAAACCCTGGAACTTCATCAGAATGTCCAGAGGAATTGAAACTTCCTGAGGAGAAGTTGCGTCTTCGTTATCATCATCTTCTTCTTCCTCCCCATGGACTCTCCGCTGAATGATCTGTCTGATGTAGTACTGCACTTCTTGTAGGATCTGCTGCTCCTGGGATAATGTGTTCTCTCTGTATGGGAAGACCGCTTCTGCTATCTGGAAGTTAAATGGATAATGGATCGGTCAACATACCAAGGATGCCCCAGTGGCTAAGGCGAGCGGACGTGGGATCAAAAGGTCATGGGTAAAAGTTCTAGCTGGACAGCACTTTATAAGAATTTCCTTACTGTACCAAAGTGTATGTATAAGGGGAGGTCGACTATTCTTTTGCTGCACCAGTCGAATGTTTCGAAGTGTTTAAAACATTTGGATGTGGACTGGAGGTTTGGCCATGGTTGGCTCAGTACTACAGTAGGTCAGCAGTGTTTGAGGCATGCTCAGGGGTCAAATTTGACTCAAATATAACTCAAATTTGACTTGATTCATATCGAAGATAGGCATGGCCCAAATCTAGTCAGACTGCTCTCAAACTTCAGCCAACCTTGGTTGGTTGGTGGTCGCGGGAAGGTTTTGAATGTGTCACTGGAACTTTAATCTAATATTTTCAATAAAAATTGATATACCGTAGATTATGACTATGGCTCTGACTTTGGCCTTCGAATACCTAACTGTATGTGTGATGGCTGGAAGATCAGTTGACATACCTGAAGAAAACAAACTATTTTCTTTAAAAGAAATGTGATCTCACCAGTTTGTAAGGTGTGCCCCACATAACATCAGAGTTCTGGTCATGGGAGGTCTGTAGTCTTTCAAATATGGCCATCTGTGTGCAGCAGCCCAGGTGTTCAGAACCCTCAGGTCCTGTACCGATACCATGGAACGTCACAGCATAGCTGAACCGGTGAGCAACACCTTCTGCCCTAAAAAGAGGCAATTTAAAACTGATTACAATATTAATTACGATTGTGCTGTTAGTAGAATTCAGAGCAAAACAAGACTGGCAATGAAAAAATACATTGCCATGGTGACAGTGGTTTCTGTTAGGGATATTGTTTGCATGGCACTGCCATCATTTCATGATTTTGAGGAAGCCTTGGTACCCTCCCCTCCCCTGAGTGTATACTAGTAGCGAGCCCTGGGGTCACAGAAAGTCGGGCATCCGGGGCAGACAGGTTTTCCCAAGGGTTTCCAGGAATGTGGGCATGTCAACAAACAGAGCTGGGAGACATTCCTGTGGACATTCCATGCCTGTGGACAAAATTCCTGTACAATTCCTAGAATTCTTGCAAACTGCACACAATACTAGTAACTGTACCATTAGGCTCCTCCCTGAGACGTCAACAACAACTTTTTTTTAATAGAATACATGTACAAATGAACTATCTGATGCTGATATTTTTTAAAGTTAATTTTACGACTTATTACCAATCCTGGAACTCCTGTCTTGTCCACTCGAACCTGTGGTCAGCGTTGCGGAAGCCGCTGAAGTTTGGGAAGAGGACGTTGAACTCTGCGTTGGGAGTGGTGACCACCACCACAGACGGCCTCATGTGGCCAAACACGTTGGACGGCATGGCATCAAGTATTGGAGGGTCAAGATGCTCAATCCTACAGGACAGAGGAGTAGTTGTAGTGTGTTGTTAATACAACAAAAAACAATTTTACTACTAAAATCAAAGAACCCACATATTATAGAAGAAGTGCTAAATTCGTCTTCCATTGCCTAAAAAGAAGAAGTCAAACCCAGTAAAACTAGTGTCATGTCATGTTGTAGAATATAGTATAATGTTAGAAGTAGATATAGTCTCACATACCACTGTATTTTCTTTCTATGTTGTTTGTAACTGCAATTAGCCCTCGGGCAAGTATTTACAATAAAAACTTTCGTATTATTTTTTCAAAAAAAAAAAACTTTCGTTAATAGTAGAAGAAGCAATGGTGGTGGTATAAGTATCAGTAGTAGTAGTACAAAATGTAGTACTAGTAGTAGTGGGGGTGGTGGTAGGAGAGTAGTAGTAGTAGTAATCTTGGCTTGACTAGTAGTAATAGTAGTCACGTGGTAGTATTGATAGTAGTACTTAAGTAGTAGTAGTACTAGTGGACTATCATAATAGTAGACTTAGTACATTTGTAGTAGTAGTAGTAGAAGTACTAATAGTGAAGAAGTAGTGGTAGTAGTACTAGCAGTAAGTAGTTAATAGCAGTAAGTAGCAGTACTAGTATTAATAGTGCTAGTGGTAGTAATACTAGTACTATCGGAACAGATTTAAGATAACTATCGCAACAGATTTAAGATATCTTTAATGCATCAATTTCCCCTGCCGCCTTGCACCATGATTTGGTGCACCTTAGCAGGCTGAATTTACTGGACTTTACTGTTGGAGGTCCTAAAGTATAAAGTTAAATCATGCAAATGTGCTAATAGGGGGCAGTATTTGTCGATATCATACAGATTTCCTTATCCAAATTATAAACTGTATTGTTGCACTAGTATTGATACTGTATTAGGTGCCTTTAAAAGGTTAACACAATTCCAACTTTACAATGCTTTAGAGGAAAATTGTATCGTCCTACATACACTTCCACACATGTGACCATGTCGTACTCCCTGAACCTGTCGTCACACTCAGCGATGGATCCCTGGTACAGACCCACGGTGAACGGGCGCTGTCGGGGCTGCACATAGTCGGACAGCAGGGGCCTGATGACCCCCTGTATGGACTCCAGTATTTCTCCTTCTATATCAATACCTGGGGAAACACATTGTTATGTTTACCGAAGGAAAACATTGTTTTTGCTCTGTTTCTTCTTCTTCCATTCCAAACACTGACCTCTGACCTGAACCAGACTTGTCTCTCACCATGGTAACTGGTGTTGGGTTACACAATGTTGCAATTTTACAGTCGGAGGGATTTAGACTTCAGCTGTCGCTATATATGTGAATGTTTGAGTAAAAAATTAACAGAGCAGACCATGTCCGAAGGTAAACATTATGCATTTGCTTTGCAAATGTTACCTCTCTAGTTTATCATTTGTTATCATTTTATACTTGAACTCTGTTCAAACTGAAATTTCCAAAATAGAACATTAGATTTGCCTGGAAGCAGTGGATTGCTTATTTCTTGAAGAGTAGAAAATTTGGGTAAGTCCAATTTTTTGTGACCGATAACCAATCAGCACCAAGGAGAGACCCCATGTGTGCATGTGTGTGTGTGTGTGTGTGTGTGTGTGTGAGTGAGTGTTTCTTTGTTTGTTTCATCAGTATCTCCATTAGTGCCACATGAATTTCACACGAATAAAGAAATTTTGAACTAGAAAGGCCAATATTTGCTTTGGAGCAAATACAGCGATGGGTTCACCACATTTTACGACATGGCAGGGAAAGAATGAGAAACACAAGGGAATTCGAAAACAATGATTTACATTGATATAACTATAATATGAAGTAACTTACAACTAAAACAACAGTTGGATAGCTATTCCCTACTTTATTGGTTAGGATTTTTAATTGCATAATGCAAACTGTTGATTTAAAAAAAAAAACGTTCATGCCCCGCATTCCAATGCTGGAGCAGAAAGCTTGAAATACCTACAAAACACTTGAATAAAGACATACTGTCAGTATGGAAATGCTCTGTGCAGGTGTTAATCAAGTTAAATCCCAACAGCCAATCAGCAAGAAATGCTCTGTGCAGGTGGAAATGCTCTGTGCAGGTGTTAATCAAGTTAAATCCCAACAGCCAATCAGCAAGAAGTATAGAGGAAAGCTGCATGCCTATTGGTTGATGCCCTGCATTCCATTGTGATGACTCATGCCCAGACGTGGTAAACACAGGCACACTAACACAGTAATACATTTGCTATAACACAGCCAAAAAACTCAAATAAAACCATTCTAAAAGCCTGTATCACAAAAATTCAAAAAACGCCTAGGGGTATTTGCCCACTGTACCTCCATACCAAATTTCAGGACCTTAGGCCCTAAAATGAAGAAGCTGAATCCATTTAAAAAATGGCAGGAGGAGAAGAAGAAGAAGAAGAAGAAGAAACATCAGAAAAAGCAATATGGGTTCACCACCACTTCGTGGTGTGGTGAACCCATAAAAATTACCACGGCCCTCTTATCTCTACCAGAAGATCATTCTGAGTGCATGAGAGCAGGGGGTGGAGGGGTTCTATCCAATTAATAGATAAAATCAACACAAATTAGTCTTCAACATTTTCATTTCCAGTTACCCTGATCTATCAGTGATAGACTGACTTGCAGGAAAACATCAATTTGCAAGGCAAAATCAGACTGGAATCAAAGAACAGCAACAAGGGAAATCGAAGAAGAGGAAGAGTGGCTAGTGGACACAAGATCAATAGGACATAGGTTTGATCCCTGGCATTCCTGGCAACTGTTTTTTTTGCATACATGATGGGAATATTTGTTTTATTATCATTAGATGTGTTTGATCATTAATGGTCTAGATCTATTTAATGCAGTCTCACCTATCAATTGCTCAAGACTTTCCTCTGGTTTAAGAAATCGTATCAGTTTTCCTTCTGCACATCCGAAGTCCACCAACTACAGAGTAAACACATACAAATAAAGATAACACATATATTTATTACATGTAGGTCTAGATATATATAGGATTATGGGAGTTTTCTTTTTCACTACAACGTAGTACAAATAAAGACTCTGTTGGAATCAAAATCACCAGTTACACTTCATGGATAATCTTAGCCTGGGTACCATCCCCAGTAGTATTCGCACGCTCTATAACTGGGTCTGGACTTGAACACATATGTAGCGTCTGGAGTCTGAATATTCGTTCAGATTTTGAACGAGCGTGCTGATTGGTCCTACTCGTCTAAGCCCTTTTTGGGGTATGTACATATTAGGTAAGGGCCGTTCGGACGTCCGAACGGCGACGTTAGCGTCCATTCGAACGTCCGAACGCCTTATCATCAACATGTCCGACGGCAAACCGAACGCTAAAGCGCACATGATATAGCCGTAGTCAGTCTTTCCGCGATAAATCATCAACATGGCTGACGCACAAGCCGCTCAGCTCACGGAGGTTGATGTTGACCTCGCAATCACGTCCGTTTGGGACGATTTAGACGGAATATCGTCGCTCAAAAATGAGCAAAAAGATGCATTGAATAATTTTGTTCGTTGGGCGTCCTACCGGTAAAAAAAAAGAACGCACCCAGAAAAGGAACACTCGCACGAAGATCTGTGTTTACAAAACAACAAACATCACTTGAATAATGCAGGCGCGCCATTGGCCGTCGCCTCTGAGGCTCAGCCAATCAAATGAAGCCCCGCTGCTCGGGCTAGCTCATTACGTGACGTCATCACCAATTGTTTTATATGTGATCAAGTCCAGACCCAGTTATAGAGCGTGCGAATACTACTGGGGATGGTACCCAGGCTAGGATAATCTGACATCACTTAACCAATTTACAAAAAAAATCATTAAAAATCAACATTTGAAGATAGAAAAAAATTCTGGCGTACATTTTTGCTATCACTATAGTGTGCCTCTCTACAAAATATGGTCAGTGAAAACCAAAGCACTTTCCAGGAAAATTGATTTTTCTAAAAAGTGGGCATGGCTCATAACTCAAGATGATGTCATGGTGATGTCATAAAAATTAGCATAAATTATTGTCTTGCAATAAGGTACTTATAAAGAAAAATTCAATGACCATATGTAATTCTAACTAGTGTTTTTAAGATGTCCCCAAAGTCCTCAGGCACCCTTACAAAATGTATATACCACCTTAACAAAAACGTTGACTTAATGGCCAGCTACGATTCAGATGGTGTTCAAACTAAAATGGCTTGCTAAACCTCATGGATAAAGGCATGCAGACGCTCTATAAAGACTTTATACCTTTAACCCTTACCCTTCTTGGCCTGTACTTTTTGACCAGATCAGCGACAGTCTGATATCTCTGTCTGTAGAGAGGAGGAGAGAACACCGGTCCTCCAAACTCCTCCTCATCCTCTACAGTAGCAGATGCTACACTTTCCGATGACGTGTCCTCCTGGGTTCCTCCTGATGTCTCCAGATCAGTATCATCTGTATCCTCCATCTTTCTACTGGAAGAAAAGAAAGTCAAGTTTGTTTGTTATTATCTTGAAAGTTCATCTGAAATCAGTATGAAGCAGGTTTAAACTGTAATATTCAACACAATAAATTGGACTCACCCAAATTTTTGACTGTACAACTCCAGTCTTTGTCAAGGAATAAGCAGTCCACCGCTTCTGTGACGTCACGCAGATAACACACGTGACAACCATCCCTCAACAGAGACGGGGGGCGCTACAGACTTTCTGCACCCTACATGTATGATCCACTGCTCACGGAGTCACGTGTGTTATCTGCGTGACATCACGGAAGCGGGGGATTGCTCATGCTCAGTCTTTGTTATGTTTACAAACAGGAAAACATATTGTTTTTGCTATGTTTCTTCTTCTTCTTCCTTTCAAACAGTGATCTCTGACCTGGCCAATGTCCTGATTTGTTGACATCTCTCACCATGGTAACTGGTGTTGGGTTACACCATGTTGCAATTTTATATCATACCCCATGTCTGACCATACAATATATACATGAATGTATTTGAGTAAAAAATTAAGAATTAACAGAGCAGACCACATGCGAAGGTAAACATTATGCATTTGCTTTGCAAATGTTACCTTTCTACTTTTATAAGGATCTCTTACTGTACATAATTTGACACTATTCTTCCTTGCAATTTCAGGGTAGTAAAACTGAGTCAATTTTCTGGTCTTTTTTAAATGTAGCAAGTTGAATGATCAACCCTTCCATAGCAGAATTCATATCTGTGACACAAAAAATAACAGAAAACATATTTTATCATAGACTGGTTCTAAATATTTATGGGTGGTACCCAAATAATAAAAAGCTGTCTCATGTTGCTTGTTTTGGAGCTTCAAGTAGGAAATGATGATGAAAATGCTTGGTATCAGTCTCAGACTAGATTTCCTCATCCAGTGTATAATATTATCTTTTATTTTGCCACCCTGAATTGCATCCAATGCCCTTAACAATACAACTAATAGTACATTAACAAAACTTATACAATTGGTAGACAAACAAACAAAAATCAAATGAGGAAAACACTTGAAACTGAGCTGAAGAGGTCAGAGGTCAACACAAAGTTGACTGACAAAGAGGGATTGGCAACCATCCATATAATATACCAGAAACTTTTTAAAAGTTGAACAAATCTTTCTCACAAGTTTCTTTGACAGTTTGTATTGCCCTGTAACCTTGAAAATTGATGTTTACAGAGGCAAGGGGATGTTTTTACCGCAAATAAGTGGACTGTCAACTGTCACCTCTTCTTCTTGGTTTCTCTTGGGGTTATCCTCAAAAGACCGGATGCAGGAATAGTCCATTCACGTTACCCCTTTGAGTTTTTTTAGTAATGAAAAAAAATCACAGCCCCTAGTCTAGCATCTTTCATATATCAAATTCATATCATAATTATATACACGATTAAATACGAGAAATCAACGTTTTATGCGTGCTCTTTTGAACGAGTTTCTTTTTTAAAGAAATAAATGACTCCCCTCAAAAGATAGTGGACCTGTCTATTTACCGTGGTTACCCTACACCGTGACGTCATGTAATTAAATCAGCTCGCGGCAAAAAGTGAAGAGAAGAGGGCGGAATCGTAACGCACGGTGAGTGAGTGTTTCTTGATTTTTCTCTGACTTACTCGAGAAATCCTTTCAAATCTCAGCAGTCTAGTGTAGACTGTGATGTTCTTTAGCGATGCGGACCGTCAAATTGTCAAATAAGGGAGGAAATGTTCGTGAAAATGTTTGGGAAAGTCCAGAGGTTTTCGGCAAAGAACGCGCGCGTTCAATGATTTGGCTGTGGTCAGTTTCACAAACCGTAGCAGGCTCATAGAACTGGGGATTTGGTGGTCTTCGGCTGTTTTCTGTATAGCACAGTTTAAAAAACGGGGTAATTCAACCAGGCCGGCTATGTTGTCTATATGCAATCAGAAAATAGCATATAAAAGATCCCAAAGACCATGAAGACCCCCAAAACCTCCAGTTTTTGGCATGCTATGGAGGCTAAAGATGGGCACCCCATGGTTTGACATGGGTATTCGGACTTAGCTGCCCTGCCCGGTCCACCTAAACCGCTGCCCGGTCCGGTCCGAGGCCGCTAATGGGGGTTTTGCGTATCCCATGCGCCGGAGCAAGCATTTCGCTTTTTCTGCGTGCGGTTGCGCCCCCTAGCGCCCCCTATAGCTAGCGTATCACTTCTTCTGGCAACGAATCATTTTCCCGCCGCACTGCCGATACTAGCGTGCACGTGTTTTTTATTTTTTTATTTGGTGATCGTCCCGCTTTGCTTGACGATGTAAACAGAGCTAGAGGTAGTCGAAGTTACATGTATTTACATTACATGAAAATTGCGTTGTAAAACACCAGTGGGATGTCTGATTTTCTACCATTGACAATGTTTTCTTTGTGGCGTCATAGCGAGATCGACAATTCATCGACTGTGCAGACAATAGGGACCAATTTATTAATAGCAGCTCAATCGATCCACGCCGCTCGGCCGAAGAAAAAGCGAATGACTAGCAAATCTACCGGGGACATATGGGAGTTAATTCCCTAATTTGGAAAATTGGTGGCGCTGAGATAAGGACTGGGTGGCGCAGCGCCACTTCCCCATCGTGGAGGTCCCTGCAGCGCGCGGGGTATGTTTTTAATGATTACCACCAATAGTCTTACAAGCAATGCAAAAAGAATTATACATTTATACCACGTGGCACTGAGGTAAATATAATTATACGGGTTCAAAATTGTAATTGCAAATAGTTGGTGAAAAAAAAACATAATTGGGACGCACTTGATGCTGACAAGGAGTAGATTTTATTGTGTGTACTGTTGCATTTCCGGTGCTTTCCGCTAGGGGGCGCAACCGCACTCAGAAAAAGAGAAATGCTTGGATACGCAAAACCCCCATTAGCGGCCTCGGACCGGACCGGGCAGCGGTTTAAGTGGACCGGGCAGGGCAGCTAAGTCCGAATACCCGGTTTGACATGTGTTGGACACGAAGCCTTGAAAATCAAACAAGTCTGTTTCTTTTCACATTGAAGACTGTAGTGTGAAATATAGTGTCTAGATAGTGTTTTCTATGTCCCATTCCTTACACCGGGCACTGTCCCAATTTCAAGGCGTGCAAGACTTGATAAAAACAAACCAGGAATTTGGGGAAAATCAATCATGAAAAAAAAATTTAGATCCTGGGTAGGCGTGGTAAATGATATTGAGACCAAAAATTTCAGCAGAACGATACAGGAATAATTACCATTTTTATCTAATACACACTGCATAGGATTACTTTTAATTTTAGTGTAAATCAAAATATCTTTGATATAACCGTCACAAGATCATTCCAAAGAAGTTGCTGCCAAAGCCTGAAACAAGACAAACTTAAATGTACCATAAGCCGTACCAACCTGTCTGAATTTATCACGGTATCACCCCTCCAAATATTCCCATGAAGCGTTTCCAGGATCCCCCCATTCAGACCCTTTTTCTGGTACATTGACCAGCTTTCCCTTGGCCACCCCCTTAGGATTATAAAAAGGTAGCCTGAAGTCCACACTGTTTACATCTGACTCTATATAATACAGTTAAAAGATATTCCAGTCATGAACAAACTTGCGGAATTGTGAATCGGTTCCGTTCCGTATTGATCGACAAGCCTCTGCACTTCCTTAGGAATTAAGAAGGCGCCAGATCACCCGATAAGGACGTCTTATCAGTTTTCGCAGACACGTAGAGCTTACATCTTCAAAGTAAGACATCTTAACAATTTACTTCTTCATGCAGGCATGCCAGAAGATTAGGAGATAGTGATGGAGATACGTCTGAAGTGAAATCCTTCCAACAACTAATCTTTGTACAGACAAAATTGCTCGCTGTTAAACCAGAAGGGCTGGATGAAGCATTGAAGGGGGCTCTTTCTTTTCAGTTGACCTAAAAAAATCATATTTTCCTCAGGGCTCTAAATACTGGGTACATGCATATGTGCACTTTAGTGCACCCAAAATTGGAGTTGAATTGGAATTGGGATTTTTTTTTATGTGGGTGCACTGGTGCACCTAAATATTTTTGTAGGAATTTTTAACAAGAAAATATATAATAATTGATAGTATACCAGATATTCTTGGTCTCTAAATATCAGAAAAATAATAAAATCTTTGGTTTAGTACTTATTTTAAGATTTTGAAGTTAGCTCTCATTTTAGATTCAAGCTCAGAAGACCTGCAATTAGGTTTTGTTTCATATGGTGCATCCAAAAAATTTTTTGTGCACCTAATTTTTTAGGTTGCGTGCACCAGAGCACTTACATGTATTCCCAAAAATGAATTTTGAGCCCTGTTCCTACAACTATCGTATGTAGTACATGGAGTGGAACTCGCAGCCACCAAGTACTTGTATATACATGTAGTTGGGGTATCACCAAGTTAGATGTCTTTAAACACTGCCTGCACTTAGATATGCACACGTAGGGTGTGTGTAACAGGTCGTTTGGTGTAATTATAATATAGCCAGCTGCCGCCGCCACACTAACATACCAACAAAGCTGGTGTGTTACACCAAAGGGCAGCTATACACACAGATACAGACATGACAGAAGCAAATTCCAATTTATACTTTGTTTCAGTTCAAAAATTGAGAGATTCTGAATCTGTTAACAAGACAATGAGACAAAATATTTGTTGTATTAATTTTAACGATTACAGAATCTCCAGAGTCATTGAAAATAACTTCTATTCACCTTGAAAACATATTCATTTTCCTTGTTTTTCTACATTACATACAATTTGAAGTTGACCGACCCTATTTGCCGTTGCCTGTACATATCGTTATGTGTATTTCCCAAAGGGAGCTTGAGTACAAGGCCTTATGTCTGAAAACAGATCTCAAACTAGAGTTCCCCGATCTCATACCTTCGCCAAATGATGTTAATCTTTATGACTGACAAATTATAGATTAGATTATTCCCCCCTGATTTAAGAAATAGGAACCTAATTTTCATGAATTATATCATTTTATCATAATCTCAACCAAAAAAACAGTCTTATATTAACAAACAATGCATTCTAGCATTTCCTAATAAATTATGCAAATGAGGTCCTGATTTGAATAAATTATGTTTAATGATGTTCACCTCAATTTAACTTTCAAATACCACAAGTATGAAATTCCAGGCAGTTATCATTACATAATTATAAAACTTTCTCATTAATTATGCAAATTAGGTCATTATTAACATAATCAATATCTTCCTGTGTTTCTCTCGTTGTCAATTACCAATGTCACAAGCTTTAATTGTCCTATCATGGAATGCAGCTGATTTATAGAATTTCCCCATAAATTATGCAAATTATATCCATATTTGCATAATTGTCACATAATTATATGAAGGATCACGTAAGCTACCTACATACCAAAAATCACGATGATCCGTCAACCGGTTCTTGAGTTATCCCCTTTTGAATATTTTCAAGAACATATCGCTGCAGTTCCAGAGCAAGCCGCTAGGGGGCCTAAACTCACATCACTTCTTCCCCAGCACAAGAGCTACCTACCATCTAAATTTCATCACCATAGCATGTCTAGATCATGAGATATCAAAACCGGAAGTTCAGCTGCAGTACCATAACAAGCCGCTAGGGGGTCCAAAATCTAATCATTTTGAGGTCTCATCAAGACCTACCCACCTACCAAGTGTCAAGACAATCCATCAAGGCCTTCTCAAGTTATCGTGTTGACAGACACACACACACACACACACACACATACATGTACACGAACGCCCCTGAAAACATAACCTTCTTGGCGAAGGTAATGACAACTACTATAGACATGTTTCCCCTATGGGGTGCTTGAGAGCCGCCTACCTTCTTGTCTCTCATACAAATCAGGATGAAAAATTGCATCAGACTCCCTTTATACTTGTCGGAGTGCGTGTGAAAGTAGATTATGTGATACATCAGGTATAATGGTCCAAATCCTGACAGATATATTACACTATAACGCTGCCTCAGCCATTTCACGATAAGTGCAGATTTTTCAACTTGGATGATGCCAGTGTCACTTTGGATATCCTTTGAATACTAATAATGCAATATGTACTCTACCAGTAGTATGACAGCTGTGTTTTCTAACATTATTCAGGGTTCTAGCTAGCTAGGATTTGATTTTAGCATAGTGGTACTGGCCGCATGTCAAGGGAGCGAAGGGACCGAGAGGGGGGATGGTGCAGAGCTTTTAAAAAATTGAGCTAAAAAGGGGCCATTTGAGGGATACCCAAAGGGAAAAAATGTTATTTCTAG